TGAAGCTTGAAATGGATGTAATTAAAACCGAACAGCTGCATCCTTCCCTAAAACACTTATACCTTTCATACTGCAATGTTATCTCATGTGATTGCGTCTAATTACACGCATGTTGTGCTAGTGCATTTCTCTTGAGATGAGTGTGATGTGAGAGTAAAACCAGATTCCAGCCTAATCAGGCCTCCTCTTCTTGTTCGATAGTACTTCTCGTTCCTTCCCTCTATAAATCTATCCAACGGCTAGAAGTAATTTCCGCCTCTTCAAACGAAATGAAAGGTACCTCGAAATTAAACTAGTAGATTTGCTGATTATGGTAAGTCTGTTGTTCAAAAAAAGAAAAGAAGAGAAGCTATTAAAATTAATAGATTATGGAATATGTTGGATATGAGGAATGGTGGTTGGAAGTTTTTTAAGAACAACTTATGCTTGGTTAATAAATTGAAGAAAAGTGTTGAGCAGCCATCCCAAAGGCCACTCGATTGGTCTGCTTAGTGATGGCACTAACTTCACTCAAACTCGTCCAACATGGCAGATTAAGCTCATCAACTAAACTAGACGAATGAGATTACGCAGCCCCAATTATGCCTTTTTTTGAATGGTTAAACCTTAATGACACTGGACTGAGGTTAGAACAGGTGGTTTCGCAATATAACTTACAAGCTTACATATTAGTATCTTACCATATTTGCTTACAGACTTACTCAGTGTCGGTCAGGGCTTTTTCTTAAGTCATTAGGCCTTTATTACCAGAGCCTAACATTAGGCTTTTTGATCACTTTTACAAAAAAGAGTTCCAACTCCAAAGATGTCAATCATAGTATTAACGAAAGCTCAGTCTGTTTTTATCTTAAACGTGGGAGGATTTATTGTGGGCTGCGTCAACCTGAAAGTCGTATAAAAGCCAAACGGCTGCAGTACAACGGGAATCAGCTGACAGGGGACTGCGACCACACAAAAGGCCACACCATCTTGGTTTTCATATTTTCGCTTAATATAAGCAGGTTAGAAATTGATACTGAAAAGAAAGCTGAAATTATAAATATATATGAGATATCACAGCTAATCAACAGATAGTTGGTAAAAGAGCGGATTTGAATTTTACTTGGATGGGTTGCAGTGTGGTGCTATAAGTGGAAGTGCTCACTGGTGATGCCGGCGGACCGTCTGGAAATGTACTAATTCCATGGTTCAATTTTGGAATTTATCATGGATAAAATGGCAGCGGACTCTTGACAAGATGCGTTCATCTAGGCCTCTCTGACAATTCGAGAAAAGGAGGTCAAACCCCTCCTAATCAGCATGGGTTAATCTGTTATAAGTCGGGTATGCCGATTCACCACTGATTAATTATTTAATTAATTAATTGCATAACAAATGGAACAACTCTGTGACCTCTAAGCCTCACTAAATGTTTCTTAGTAAAAAGTAGACAGATTTAATTATTGATCTGTACTTAAGATTCCATCAGGATTCTGCCATATGATTAGAGCTGCTAGATTTTTGCTTCATTTATGTAGGACCTCAGGCCCTTCTTCTTTAATTAAATTCTAAGCAAATAAACTAAATATAATCCCTAAGGGCAATATGACTATTAAGGGATGTCAATGAGCTGTATTGAGTCTGAGAGCCTGAGGCCATAAGAACATCTGACTAATTAATTCAATGAATTTCCAAAAACAGAAAGGATAGGAAAAAAACACAATCAGACATATCTATTCATTATAATTACAGGCAAGCAGATGAAACAAAAACAAATTTAGTTAGCAAGAAACTCAAGATGCAATTGGAGTTTATTTTCCTTTTGGGACAATTATAGATGCTTAACTGAGTGGCTTAAGAATAGCACTAAGAGAGATAACTGAACAAACCGTTTATGACAACAATATAAAGGAAAAAAATACTAAAAGCAATTATACACATTAGTGTATGCTATTTAGGAATACGAATACTTGAAAAGATTGTAAATAAAAAACAACCCACCCTATTGACATCAGTGAACTCCTCTAATTTGCGTTGATAATGTTGCATTAGCCAATTAGGGGCATCTCCTTCTTCTGAGTCATTCTCGGAGTCTATGTTGAATTCGCATGCTCTAATCGGTTGAACGCACCAAGTATGGTAATAAACCCTATTGTGTCCGATAGCCATTGGTCGAAAAGATAGAGTAGGATCCAGTGGCTGTATAGGAGAAGAATATTGAAATTAGATCACTTTTGTAAAGTGGAATCGAATACATAAAATGTATTTACCCTATTTCGTTAAGGTGATAAAAGACTGGTAGTTGAATTTGCCCACAATGATGAGTAGCCTCCCTTCTCGAGAAGTATTCTTACCCAGAGTAGCCTGGCGTTTACATCTCGCTTAGGCCTCATCAATACCACCAGGGGGACGCGAATAGTGATAGTGCAGCCTATAATCTCGACACGTTAGCCACTGCATCACACTGCCAATAGTGCCTAGGACAGCAGGTGTGAATTTCAGGGAGGGCCAGGCATTTTTCAATGTAACATTCTGTGCTGGGATTAACGATGGAACAATGTAATATTAGTCTTAGCAACCGTTTATAAGTAGGTTTTCGAGACTATCAGTGAATAATATATTAGATTTATTCACCTTATTTATTAGGGTGATGAAGAACTGGTAGTTGAATACCTTTTGAAAGCAAGGCTATGTAAAATTCAATAGAAATGTAAAGCCCACTCATATTATTGTTGGAAAATGCAATTAAGTCATTCATCAGCTTAACGATATAAGACGAATGCATCTGATATATATATATAAATTGGGTATGTTCTGAAACTACAAGTATATCATATGAGCTGTATTCATCGTAGTTCGTTCACGAAGTAGTTCGTATAATTAGATAAATGAAGAAGGAAACCCTCATTTGCCAAACATGGTCCACACAACCAAGCAGGATATTCAGAGGGTAGCTTAACATCCTTTTATTTATTAATTGTGAAAGCAGTCGACCCATCTAGCCTATTAAATAACTGTATGAATTCCTTCATTCCTTCCCTGCATTAGATTTTGTAATGCTTTGATGAGGTCTCTTTTTAACCAAATCATGAGATACTTTTATAATATCCTTCTTAGTTATAGGTGGAAGTGCCTATCAATAAAACAAATTCTTAGAAATAATACTATGTGACGAAACTTATTTTAAAAATTGAATATGACCAACTTGTCTGGCCCTTAATTAGCTGGCTTTGGAGTATGGCAGAAACTGATTCAGTAGAAAAAATTGGTAGTCGCGGAACTCTACTCATAAACGAATAAACTGAAAGCCAGAAAATAAAAACCAAGATTCGACAAAGTATCTATGCATTTACTATAATCTCATAAAATAACTAAGAAATGTTAGACAATTTTAAATTCAACTTGCTTGATCCATATAGGTTTCGGAACCACGCCAGTAGATAAGATGAGTATAGGGTAGACGGCGAACTGGCCTCTTGAAGCCTGCAGCTCCAGTATAAGCCAAGCAACCAGTCAGGCCACTGTTCCCACCTACCCCAGCTCCAATCGCTGAACACGATGAAGCAATAGTAGGGCCCTCTCCACTGGAAGGGCATACACCTAGTCCGCATCCTGTCATGGCACCAACCGAAGAGCCGCCTAGACCTGTCCAGCCTCCGAGCACCTCGCTTCCAGCCTTTGACCAGTCAGAAGTAGTGATGGCGTCAACGTAGCATGAAGTGGAGTTGGCCGTAGCGGTAGCTGTACTCCAACGTCGAAGGCCGCAATCGTTAGAGCCATCATAAACGTCATTGAGACACACTTCGAGGCTGAGATGAGATCGTACAGGACTCCAAGTTGCTTTGAAACGAAATCTTGGATGGCAAGTGCGCAGATGAGCAAGCAGGGCCTCGGGAGCTGAAGAGGATAATTGTGAAAAGCCGATTAGTAAATAAGTACAAAGGTGGTTGGAATAATATTGCTGATAAGAGTATCGAGCTTTAAATAGTCAAGTTATGGAATAGAATATAAAAGAAAAATAATAAAAAGCTTCCAAGAAACCCATTAAATAATCGAAAAATAGGTAAGCAATATCAATTAGACGGGAAATGGTTGACATCCCAATAGATTATAACGACAGTAGAAAAAATGTAGACCAAGTGGAACTCAAGGCTGGTATCAACTAAAATCTTGGCAGATAAGTTGTCTTGATAGTATAACAAAACCATTTCATAAGATGGGAACCTGGGTTTCAAAGAATCTCCAGATAAATGTCGCGTTGAGTTTCACGTATTGCGAATAGTATGCAAGATTAATCTATTCTAAAAGCAATCACCCGATGCAGTGGAAATGTGATGTAAATGTTAAATGGAATAATGCTGAAAATTAAAGAGAAAAAGTGTGTGACTTAGTGTAAAAAACCCTTGAGGATGCTGTTCAGCTTTGATAATGTCTAGTATATTAGGTATTAAAGCCTCACATAATAATATAGTAGAGAATAAGTAGTTTAGAACAAGAACAATCTGTCTATAATTTCATGAGCTTGCTTAAATATTCAGGATAGCCTGTTAACATGAATGAAACAGGATGAAAAGTGGATAAAGTGTAATTAACATTGTCAAAATTTCTTTAAGGTCGTTAAAACACTGATATCAGATGAATGAATCACGTCGTGAAAATGGGAATTTCAGGCACCATACATTATGACAATAGTAAGCTAATGTTTGTTTTTACTTATTCGTAAGGCAGTCTCTATGGATATCATTAGTCAATGAAGAAATGGTTGAGGTAAAAAACAAACTTTGGCCAGCTAAGTCAGGATTGCGATAGATGGCTGTCCTAGAAGATGGTGATAAAGGTAAGAAAAGAAAAGAAATCTAGCCCAATAAGACATTGGTCATAATTGAGCTCACATATGCATACGAAGCATTGCCAAAATTTCCTACTTTAAACAATTAACTATACATTTCGAACGTAACAAAAGCAAAGATCGTAGGGTTGCGGATACAGACTGATATATAGAGGTTTCATTATCAAAATCAATTAACTTACTGTATATAAATATACATCAGATATCTGACAAAATCATAAAGCTTACGACATGAAAGGCACAATATAAACTATTTAAAATGAGGCAAAAGCAGGGAAATAAATCTATAATATAATCC